GCCGGCTAAGCGCTCCTAGCCCTCTTAACGTGTTACAAAATTGTCGCGAAGTTTACAAAGGCTGTTATTATCCGATAAGACATATTAAAACCCCGGTGATAACCACAACTGATGCTTTAGCGACGAAAAAATTGAACTCGTCAATTTCAATTTCTTGTTCATGCATACGACGTAGCGTATAACATGTATATGTATTCCACATATTATGTGACATTTTCTCGACAACTTTGTGGTGCTTAGAAAATTTTGATCAAGAGAAACCCAAATAATGCAAGAAAAACAGGAAAAGTTGGGCATGCGCGATCATTGTGGTGAAACAAACGCTTTACAAAGGAATAATTTCGGCCGAGGGATGAATGAAATAGCTTATGGCGCTTTTCCTCTATAGGATTCTTGTGGATGCAAGATTGTGGTCGAGTGCGAGAAATCAGGGCTAATATTCTCTTTTATACTCTGAGTCAGTTTACACGGTTTGTCGTTGAAATTGGACTTCTGCCTCAGGTGCGTGTAATTAAAAGGAGTCGGAATCTTTGGGAAAAAACATTGATACCTTGGAATGTTTACTCCTTTGAACGCAACTCAAATTAAATCAAATCTGCGAAAATCGTATTTAGGTGAGAACTGGGAGTTCTTGTATCCATGGTACATCATTTTGAAACAAAAAAAAAAAAAAAAAAGAAAGCAGAGAGAGCCAGTGCGAAAAAAGGGAAAAATTTAAATTGACTCGAACTTGACTCGCGACTCGAACTTGACTCTTAATACGGTATAACTACTGTTTACTGTTCAAAAGAGTGGCTCGTATCCTATCTTTTTTTCCACGATTTGCGAAACAATTCCCAATCTTTATTTTTTCCTATTAGACCCTTCCTTGAATTATGAGAATCTATATTTCTTCGTCATGGAAATGAATCATTTTAGACTGGTTTATATAGCGGTGTATTTCAACTTAACTAGTTTGTCCAGAGAGCTTGTGACCAGGCATTAGAGTTTTAAAATATAAATTACTTCCAAACGGAAACAGTTAATGGCACAAAGTAACAAAATAACGGATATAAGATGGCACTGTGCTAGAGTCTTACTTCGTGTATGAAAAAAATACTTCCTTTTTTTGTAATAAAGTTTCTAGATTTCCACTTTGATATAGCTCATACTGAGAATGAGCTTTCGATTGAATAAATGTCTCTAACCGGCGTTTTCTCTAGGTATCATTCGGTTGTCAATCATCAAGTACGATCGTCTAGGTGAGAATAGTCCCGAAAAAGTTTGTTGTCGAAACTAGACACTGGCCTGAGCAGAAGTCATCAGAGTCGACTGAACAATTTTTTGCAAGTCGAACGTTACAAATTTGGTTTGTAAAAGTGATTGGTCAGTTTTGCAGTGAAGTGGCTGCCAGACTCAAAGGGCGTTCGTCCGTTGATTTGTCAGTTTTAATCAGTCGGTAGGGTTAGTTTGTTCTATTTGGTCCGTTGGTGACCGCGCTGGTTTTTTTTAGGTCGTTTGTAACGTGCTAATGTTTGGTGCCCTCTGTTGTGAGTCTTCACTAAGTTAGTAAACCAGTTTTTTAAAAGTCAGTCTTTGATGATAGTGTAAGTCGATGGTGTTCAGCAACGTGATTTTTGACGCAAATAAGTTACGAAAAATCAAACTAAACTCATCAAAAGATTTCAGTTTTGAATTCCATTTGGTCTTTGTCCGGCCGAAGTATTTTTGGAGTGCCACCTTACATCACCTTTGTGCGACATCAACTAGGATATAGCTGTGATACTAATTGTTAAACAAACCCCCAAAAATGAGCGATAAGAGCTTCGAAATTAATAATTTGAGTAACAGTATCCCGTAGCTAGAATTATATCAGTTTCCACTTGTTTCGGTCTTAAATTTGATGCAACCAGACAATACGAGATAAATTACACCAAATTATAACTGATACTGAGCTTAAATAAATCAATAAATGATTGCTCAGGGTCTGTATAACAATCCGTAACACAACAAACTATTCCAAAAATGGTGGCTAATTAAGAACTATTCACTTACCATGCAATTAGTTTCATCCATTTCAAGACAATTGGTGAAAAGACAAAGACTTCGTACAATAATTAGACTTATAAAGGGCCACCATTTTTGCCAGTATTACTAAATAATTGAAAGTTCTTATCTTTGCAGTATCCACTAAAAATGTATTTGATGCCAGTGTCTACTCTTGACCAAAATCTTTGTTCCTCCACCCATCTGACATGCAACATTGCCGTTTTCCTGCAAGTAGAAAATGCGAATATGATCAGGAAAGCTTACTTTCCATGAGGATGAAAGATAAAAATAAAAAATTACGAATAGTAGTTTTACTCTCTGACACAAATGATATATATGTATAAATGGAAAGCATCAAAACTTTTTAATAGAAGAAAAATCACACCCCCACATGGCTGTGTTGGAATACAAAATGAAGTTTCAAATAAATTAAGAAAGGAAAACATTTGTATTTTAGCGTTTCACTGGAAACGTTTTACAATTATTGCACAACTCTGCTTTTCCCGAAGGCAACACCCTAATTCCCTCGAATTTCGAGTCGAAGAGCCGCTCAGACCGAGCAACTAATTCATACTACGTGGATGAACTGAGATAATACGACTCGTTTGGATCTCTGAAGGAACTTAAGGCGTTATTTTCCAAAGGCAACACTTACCTGCTGTTTTAGTGCCATAAGAATACTTTCTTTGCTCTCCAGTGTCCTCTTCCTTCCAGAACGCAATGTTATGTTTAGCACAACCGGGACAACACGTCTTCACTCTACGATGAACCGCGTGGTTTGCTGAAAATTCTACAAGTTCTGATGAATATGGATTAACAACTGCAGCCAATAATCAGCTGCTACGCCGCGGAATTGGCACGGGATGTGTTTGCACGCTCAGCCACATAATCAAGAATCAAGCTAAATGAAAAGCATTGTGAGTGACGGATTGGCATGTGGGAAGACGAGGGAACAACTCATAGCGACTAAATTCTAGAAACTACTATCTAACCAGAAAATTGCTCCGGCACTCGAAAATAGCTAATTTGAAAGGCTGATATCATTAAAAGTTGTAGATATCTGTAAGAAATAAAGAAATTTTTCAGGCCTCATTTTGAAATTGTGTCAATAAATTAAGAATTGTTCATTGTTCTCTTACGAGGGGAGCGTAACAAAAAGAACGCAAAGATGATGATGACGCACTAAGTGAACAAGAGACCAGCCGGACGGCGCATCGAGCTACAATAATCCAAAGAGTTAAGACTGATAATAGGTTAAAAAATTAAATTTGAAAGGTTGTGGAGGAAGATTTTTATTCGTGTTGCTTCGAGCGCGGGACAAAGAGAAAAAACAAAACAAAACAGAACAATTCTGAGTCCTCATAAGGAATCGAAAGTCGCGTTTCTCGCTCCAATGCTCTACCACTGAGCCACAGAGTCCTCACGATAATCAAACCAATGCTATCACGAGTTTCATTAGTGAACAGCACGTGTGAAAAGAATAGGACAGAGACAAGACGACTAAACGATCTTTCTCTATCGTTTTACCGAGCTCAAAATTAACTATCTTTTGCGGTATTTAAAAGGTAGTTCGAAGTTCTTAGTCAATCTTAGAAAGAATAAGCCGCCCTAACCCATGGCTAGTTTTAAAAAAATCCATTCACTCAGTTACCTTGTCTAAGACGTTGAATTGTGGCGCATTAGCTCTTGGAACAGGCGCATTTTTTTTTGTTTTACATGCAAGCAGGGGAAAGCGCGAGGCGGGCGTGAAGGAGTTGTGAGAGGTGAGGCTTGCATCAGTGGAGGAGAAAAAAGAAAAACCCTCCACTTGCAGCTTTATTTCTCCGTGCGCTTGCATCCGCTCGCCTAAAAAGATAAGAAATAAAATTGGTGCCTGTTTCACAGGATATTGAGGCTTGCTACTTAACAAATTAAGTACCTTCGACCGTGCTCTGCTCTGTTGCAAACTAACGTAGGGAGCAGTTAGAGCACGAAAGAAATGTAGGGGAAAATAGTCTACGTGTACCCGCACCCTCCCCCCGCCAAGGTGAAACGAAGATGAGGATCCCTCGCTTCCGTTTCACCTTGGGGGGAGGGAGGGTACGGCTCTAAGTAGTCTAAGGGGAAAACGAGACTTAGAGATAAGTTCAAGGAGCCTTTGATTTTTCTTTTGTATGATCTCTCACCCTACTTAACAAGGTATGAATTTATCCATCTCTTGGAGGAGTCTCAAAGTTGTCCTGCATAAAGTGCACGATTGTAAATAAAATATAAATTCGTGGTGTGCCCGTAATTAAGGTGCATTATCATGGTCAAAATTAAAATGTAAACTCTCTCGTGTTTGAATTTCTAAACGAGTCTTTAGGTATGCTGGTTTTTTTCTCAGTGAATTTGAAATATAATTATTGTTTCTTTGCGAACAAAGTTTCTTTCAAATCAACAGTTTAGTTGACAGTTTCAATGAACTTTATTGAACTGGACAGAAGTGATCCCTGTCATATTCAATGCCAGTGCATTGACTACAGTGTTATACAGTGTTCTACCAATTTTACAATGGCTAAAGCAAAGTAACCTTTCGACTCCCACGAGTGATCGTTATTTAGATCCACCCCACAAATATATACCTTACACAAGATGGACAGCTTGTCCAGAGTGCTCTACAAATATAATCGTCGGTTACAAGGGTTGCAACGAAAAGGTTTAAAGTTATATCAATGGCCGTTTATTGTTTCAGTTTACGTAAGTGTTTCCCTACAATTACCTTGCGTGAAAACTAATTTATTGAAAGAACAGAACGACAAACAGTCATGATAGTAATAAAGTATGAGAATAAAAAACTTTGATTGGGGATGGATTATTGTAAAATGTGATTGAAATAGTGGAGGAGGGGGAGGGGGTTGGGGGTTGGGGGTTGGGGCAAAAGCTGAAAAAAAATTATTAAAACAGACGTAAAAAAAAGATTCTTCCATCTCCCAAACTACCCACCCCCCCACCCCCCCTTACCTTCTAATGGTCCTTCCCTTCAGCGGATTAAGAGCAGTTTTAAATGTTTGCTTGGACAGTGTCCACTTAACTGTTTTCACTAGAAGGAGACAAGGGAACTTATACCCCATTCACACCAAAGCTGAACCATGTTTTAAAGCTGTTTTCTCAAACACCATTGAAAATTGTCTTCTTTACAGAAGCGGCTTAGACCGATGTTTTTCGACTTCAAATTTAGCACACTGAAAATAAAAGTTAGTGACCACTTGAACCTCATGGAAATTCAGTGTTTCACTTCTCTGCCGGTTTCTGATTTTCATTCAGTTAAAATCGATTTGACTAATTATGATTTGCTAGTGTGAATGGGGCGTAAGTCCAGATCCGTCACAAAAATTATGAATGAAAGTCAACGTAACTCATTTACAGCTGCCTAAAATAGCACTTTACATTTCATGTAATACCTCACTGTAATATGGTAACTCCACCTGACTACATAGAAACTTCTTCCCTGCACATAAGACCCAGGGCAATAAATAAGTATACTTTATACAATAAAAAGGTGGAATAGAAAGCGTACAAATTTCTTTCTTGTAAAGCAAACTTTTTGTGGCTTGCGAAAGTATGCAGACTGAACTCCTCCAACAACAGTCCCCAAGGCTGTTCACCTATGATGTTCTGACGAGCTCTTTTACTTGATAATAGGAAGTGTTCAGCCAACATCATCCGAAGCCACAGACGATAACACCAATAAATTAAATAGTTATCACAGAGCTCAAATGTATAAGAAAATTTTGACAGTGATAACACTGAAATATATACAGTCGTTCATTGTTTAAATACTCAGATCGATTAACATATCCATCATAAATAAATACCTCTTTTTTGAATTAAAATGATGAAGATTTGATTTTGAATCCTTGGTCACAAACCAATTTTGTGTTATTCTGTTATTTAAGGCTTAGAACACAGATTTTTAATTAGTGTAAGACTACACTATCCAGCCTTTAATTAGCTTTGCTATCAGATTCCCGTAAAGATATTTCTTTACGCACTACTTCTTGCCTATTAACGCCCACATTTTAGTATCCCACAAGGCATTTTCCAATGCATTTTAAAACCTACAAATTTCGAAACTTTTGAAGGAGCTTTAGCAATTCACACGACTACAAAGTTTAGCTCTGCATGAAAAAAAGTATTAAGAAACTTCCGATAAAGAAGTGTAGGTGACAGTATTCTTGATGATATCAATATTTCTATTTCATTTTATGCTCATAATAATAAATTTTCGGAATCGAAACTATAATTTTGCTTTCTAAAGATTAATGATTAATCTTCATAGAGGAACACTCTTGCTGGTTACATTTCAAACAAGGATAAAAAAACAGTCGGGTCCACGTTTTTCAAGCAATATGTTGCGTATCACAAAATTTTTTTTTCCTGTTCAAACAGGTCTTTTGGCTCTGTTTTTGTTTTTGTTTGTTTGTTTGTTTTTTTCAATTTCAGCCCTTACAGACATTTTCTTTCACTCTATAAATAACCGTGCTACAGAGGCGTTTCCTGACAACTTCAACTTGCGTCGAGTTGATTCGCCCCTTATTTGCAGTTGTCGCAATGGCTCCCTTTGACGTTTTTGAAAAGTTATCAAACCAAAGACGACAAACAAACAAACACACACAAGAAAACATCGAAGAAAATAAAATAATTGCCCAGCACAACTTATGCTGGTACTAACTTTCCTCTTCAAAATCTACACATTTTACTTCATCACATAACCTACTAAGATCATTCGTGATCAACGTCGACCCTTGCGTGACAAGTGAAGAGATCGTTAGAGTAACGCTTTCCTTACCGGAATATTTCGTTTTGACGGGAAAGAATTTCTTCAGAAAGGAAACAACGGATGAAGAGGACATTTGGTTACGGAGAAAAAGGAGTAATTTTAACATCAACGAGAAGTGTTTCCCTCTTTGTTCTCTTGCGCTGCACCTTCCTCCACCTGTTTAGTATCATCCTTACCGCCCTCTTCCTCGTTTGCTTCCTCGTTTGCTTCCTCTTTCTTGTCACTCTGATTCTCTTGTGTCTCTGCATCCTTCTCCACCTCACTGCCATTCGTTTGCTTTTTTTCAGTTTCCTCTTCTTTTCCGCCAGCTTCGCTGCTCTTTTCTTCCTTACCTTCTTGGTCCTCCTTACCTGAATCATCTGAAGGCGGATTCATGGATTCTAGGGCAGTTCTGTTGTGTTGAGCCATCCTCGACCATTTTGCCAGGTTTGCTCTTTATAAACAAAAAAAGAAAAAACGAAAAATTAGCAGAGAAAAACATATTCAGACCGACTGGATTACAGTTACGAAACCCCTCATTAAAATCAGATACTACCTCGTATTTTTGCGTTAATTTGTGCGACGAACTACGGGAAAAGGCGAAAAAGTTCCGAGTTGGACTTCGTGAGAACTTAAGGCTCACGTAATTTCTGATCAAAACATATATATGGTAGTGAAACTTCAAAACGGCAACTTTCTTAATGAGAAAATCAATCATTCAGTAACGTCTTTTCAGCCAACTGAACCGGCACTATCCCTTAAAGTCACGTGTTGCAGGACATTACATCAGAAAAAAGTAGTAAAAAAAAAAGAAAAAATAACCTGGAGAACAGATTCTGATAATCAATTTAGACAGCGCACTACTTACTGAGATCCTTCCACAAGTGGTTTTGTGTCAGGAATGCACTTCTGTAAGAGCTCATAACAAGGTAAACAGATTCCAACCAGGAAACCAACCTGACGACAAATGTAAAATTTGTTCTCAAGAATTTTCAAAGCTGGTCTGCGTAAAAATTAGAACAGTTTTCAACTGAGTGTCGAAAGACAAAACCAAAGTTATCCTAGCGACCAATTAGAACAAAGATTATATCATCGTTAGCCAATGAGAACTCAAAGTGAAAACAAGTAAATTACTTGATGCGCGGGAAAACGCAAATGACCAAGTCGCGATTGTATTAAGCTTTGCATCTGATTGGTTGAGAAAGTGGCGCGCGTTTTCCAGACCAATCAAAGAGCAAAGTTAAGTAAAACCAATGCAATCGCGATTACTTTCGACACCCAATTGAAAATTGCTGTAAATGCATTGTAAGTAGTTATAAGAACCAGTATTACCTTTGAATAAATGGCTTGAAAAATATGAAATTTTTTTTTTATGATTCTATTGAGCAGGTAGCACAAACATGTCTGCTCTCTTATTTTCATCGATACAATTAAATGGAGCTTCTCACCTGATGCGCTGGCAATTCATGCGCTGTGTTACGGTCCTTCATTGCAATGGGTGTTTTTCCCTGCGCCTTTTCAAGATCACCCTGACAACATCAAAAAGAACAATAAAAGTCAAATCTCCGCTGAGCTATGGAAAGTCAGACAAAACAGATTCAAAGCAAAAGCAAGAAAAGCAAGAAAGAGCACCAGAGGTTGAGCGAGGATGTTGTTTAACACTGAACGAAAAATGAATATTTTAATGTTTTTATAAGGTCTTTCAATCCAACTTGACCAGGAGTATAACGTTCGCTCTAACGATGGGCTAACGCTCGAACCGTCAGTTTTAAAAAGTCTTTAAGGTGGCCAACTTACATTATCAACTCAGTTGATCACACCAAATTATCTTGTAAACCCCACTACCACGTGGCACTACAGTTTCTTAAGGAACTTAACCCCTTTATTCAGGATTACAGTATGCCGACCACGTAGGTCATCAGTTGATCAAAGAGCATTCTTCATTGCCAAGTGCAAAGTACTTGCTACAAAACGCACCTCAGCGTAAAACTCTTGATAAATGACCCTCACAATCTCCAACTGAATTTCCCACGGCTTTGTGCAGGCAGATAAATCACAAGCTGTCATACAAATAGCACGTAACAGCTTCCTGAAAGGGACAAAAGTCTTCAAGTCAGTTGCTGATGCACCGTCATTTAGGAAACGACAATCAGTTGCATTTCTGTGTTTTCCAGTCATTCGAACGCATGATGGTTACCATATGCTTTCACTTCTATGAAACGGAAGTTGTGTCGACTAGATATTTAAATAAAGTTATAAGCATTTAAGAGACAAGAGTTGGCCATGCACAGTTCCTTGAATTAGTTCAAAACCGATGGACAGATTGTAAACAGGTCTGTAATGAATTTAACCGCTCTTTGGGACATGGAAAGCAACACTCTTTCAAAAGCAAGAGCAAAGTGTTCTCATTAACTCTACCAATTTTAAATCAAAATCGTTTTTCGTCTCTCTGTCGGTGATATGTTTATTAGATGATTTAGCAAGAAAAATCTTGGAAGAAGACAACGTCGGCTCCCACCCTACCCTGAAAATGGAGAAGGTTTAAGCTCGCTCTCGAAAAACAACTCGGAGTGACTGCTCAACGATCAAATTGAAAGGCCAGAAGAAAGGATTTAATTATAATAATGGGCTTTAGCAGTGAACATTCCACAAGGTGGCTTTTCTTGTTTATTATTCCAAGTCAAATTAGAATTAGAATTTGGAAAGATGGATTTTGTGGAGCAAGGAAAACCGGCGAACCCAGAAGAAAACCGTAGGGACGAGAACTAACAACAAACTTATCTCATATGTAACAACAGGTGCGGGAATGAAACCCAGGCCACAGCGGCGGTGGGAGTAAAACAAACGCTCTCACCACTGACTGCATCATTCCCTGCTCCCCCAAGGATTTTGACCCTTTTAACACTCTAGTTCTGACTCGCAGTCCTCCATCCAGTATCCTATGTTACCTGTGATCTTGGTTGTCCCATGTGAACTGTCCTTTTTCCACCAACTCCTTCAGTTTCGACTTGTTACCGAAAAACAGCGCCAGATCTGTGGCAAGGATACACTCCTTCATGTAACCAAGCACTGTTTTGTACTCTGCCGGACTTAGGTGAGAGAAGATGTTGTGGCCTTCATGCTGTTGACAGGAAAGTAACATTTGGCTTGTTTAGTTGGAACTGTAGAAAAGTAATTTGAATTTTAATATCACTCAACAATCGGTCGGGTCACTCGCAGAATGCACTTGCTCGGATTCGTCCCTGTTGCCAAAAAGATATCCCCTCCCTCTGACATTCTTTTAAAACTTTTTATTCATTCCTCTTTTGACTGAACACTCGCAAGGGTAATCGTACCTGAAGGATGGTAATGGTTTGGTTGAAGTGATGATGTTCCATAGTTGACGTGCTATACACAGCAGCCAGGGGAGTCTGTTCATTCTTCATCCACGAGTTGGTGCGACCACGGTGATCCAAGTCATGGCACAATGACGCAAAGAACATGGCCAGGGCCTGCAGGCAGTCAAACAATAGGGTACGAATTAATTGAGTTCACATTCTCCATTTCCCTTTAACCAATAAATTGAGAGATTGTTCCAAATAAGCTGAGTTCAGCGTGGCTTTCGGTGTCTCCTTGTATCTAGGGCACAGCTGTACATTGTTTGTCTATACAAGGAGGACACAGAGTTGGCACCCCACCCCCAACTAAGTGGCTTAAGGTGTCTCCTTGTATCTAGGGCACAGCTGTATATTTTTTGTCTCTACAAAAGGAAAATAAAATTGGTAGACCCCCTTCTCCCCCCCACCCCCCAAGTCACTCTATGGGGTCAAAGGTTTAAGCTTTATTACCAACTCGTTCCAATGAGCCCCTCTCCACTCCCCGCGATGTCGTTTTTTGGTAAGCAAAGAAGACAACAACGCTCCGTACCTCAAGTGCAGTGAATTTTTCGTTCCCAGATCGAATGACGAGATACATGGAATGTGCGACAGCGAAGGCATGGGTCCAGTTGTGGTATGGAACATCTCGATAATTCTTCTTCACGGTAAGCACAAACCGCCACAGTTCGTCAACTCCAAATCTATAACACAGTCAATAGATTAGTCCAAACCTAACCTAACGCTCCTAATCTATCCTGATGTTATTACGGTAGAAGGACAAAAAAAACATTTAGAGCATAAAAGTATGTCTCTTGTTGAAAAGCCCCCTAAGGAGTGCTACAGAGACAATGTGTGTTGGCAGGAGTTGAAAACAATTTGAACTTTGGGATTTTAACATGTGACTTTCATCACACCACTACAATGCCCAACCAACTGAACTAAGCAGTAAGAGGCAAATTAGTCAATTCTGACATTTTATTTATCCAAAATAAATGAGGAGTAGCAAGGTATATGTGAACAATAATTCAAATTTAGAAATTTACATAGTGGTAATTATAGATTGCAAAGGGTAGTAACATAAAAAAGAGATATGTGAGATACATTTTCTGCAAAATAACTAGAAAAAAAGGATTAAAAAGAATGCAAATATAGCAGTATGATCCATGGGAACTAAGTTTCACACCCATAGAAAAGCATGGTGTATTGATATAAAGTTATACCATAAAGTAGAACCTACATAAAGGGGACGTAATTGAGACAAAGTTCAGTGTCTGGTGATAAGAGGTATCTCCTCCGTGCTAATAGAACGCTGTTCGATTACGAGTCGGTAAACCCAAAACATTCTCCCTTTGATCCCTTGGCTACGAAAATGTCTAGTAAAAAAAAAAAATTGAACTGAAGTAAATAAATCCTAACCTTTGAAGTGAGAAGAGATTCTTTGTCATTTGAATGACTAGACTTGGCATGAAGTCTGTTCCTTCTTTTATCAGTGAGTACGAATCAAATTTATACCTGTCAATTACAAAAAAATAACAAGCACCACTTACTGATGTATTGTTCACTGTACAGAAGGGGCTTAACGCTAACACTTGAATCGTTCTTATTATGTATTAAAATTCCAATAAAAAAATGGCCCGCGATCACCGAAGCTCTCAATGCTGCCTATACACTAGTACGGGGAAGGTGGGGGGGGCTTCTCGTGAAGTCCATGGAAAGTCGACTTAGACTTCTCACTTCTCGTAGACCTCCCCTAGGCTCGCCTGCTCGACTCTCGCAAACTGTCAATTTTCAGCCTTACCGTTTGACCCCTACGAATGACTAGAATCTAATTTTCTTTACAACGTCACCCCCAAATCACACATTAAGGTCACGAGAATAAAGGAAACAATCACCAACTAAAGACGCTCTTGATCGTTGAACAAATTCTCCTTATCAGAACCTTAGGGAATGTACAGAGAACACTAAGGAGAATATGCATACTGATATTAAAGTGTAAAGGGTAGTATAGAAGGTATCACTTGTACGTACGATTCCAAAGATGGAAAAGGTTCTTGAACTGGCATCTCTTGGGTGGATGTTAGCTCCCGTTCAGAACACTTGCTGTGATATGATAGCACTTCCAATGCGACCTAAAATAAATAAAATAGGCCACAATTAACACACTGTTACCGAAGATGAAAATGAAATGGACACTGACACGAATCCTCAAGGTTCGATATATTTGGCACCCCGCCAGAAAAAAAATGGAACGAGTACATTTGGTGACCGATAGTCATGTCAACTCGCCTGATATTCAGTCAGAGTTAAGTCAATAACTTTCTTTCTCACTGCTAAACTTCCAGTGTAAAATGAATAAGATAAGCAAGCAAAGTCTGATTTGACTTGCACTGTTTTTTTTTTATAGAATAAAGTTCGGATATAACGCGCGCTGAAAGAGCGGTTGAAAGAGCGTGCTCTATCAGAGTATAGAGCATACTAACGATACCGTTGTTAGCTTGGAAATAAAGTTTCTTTGAAAAATTGAAAGTAATGCGAGGGGAATTTAAAGGACGTTTTGTAATAAAACAAATACAGACGCCTTGACTGTGCACTGTTCTGTTGTAAATTACTTAGGAATCGGTTAGAGCACTCAATAAGTGGGGAGAAAGACTCGATTACGTCTCGTGTTTCTCACTTGTTTCGTGCTGTAGCCGCTTCCTGCGTGCTTTACAACAGAACAGCGCAAAGTCAAGGCTTCTCAATTTGTTAATTAGATTGTCTTTTCTCTCTTTTCAAAAGTTCCACAGGAAAAGTCCTAAAATTATGAGGTGGGATTTTTAAAAAACAGCTATTCAAAAACACGAGTCGTCGCTTGAAAATATTTTCCCCGGGAAGTTTATTAGTGTAACAAATGTCTCTGAGCGTCTCTTTAGCAGTAGATAACAGATGACATAAAAAGGTGGTAAGAACTGAAAAGTGGCACACTTGGCGCTGCCGAGTGTGCCACTGATGTTCCAATCACATTCTGACTTCTTCTGGGATCTATTAAAACTGAACCAACGCATAAAAAGCGAAAAGTCGTTAATGGTGACGTCATATGTGCATCTGTCCTCCAACAGATCATAAGTAAGAACCAAGCAAAAGCTTGAATATCACAAAAGAGCTTGATAGTTTACCCTGTGTTTCTGCTCCGACCTCCTTATCTTGTCATATAGCTGCAAAGAAACAGTTTCGAAAGTTAAGCAACTATTGAAGTGATATAGACGAATTCCACAATTAAGTAAACACAAATTAAAAGTGATATACTTTAAAGCGATTTTAAATCAAGTGTCGAAAGTAATTCGGAATCGCTTTAGTTTAACTTAACTTTCAAATTTGCTCTGTGATTGTTACAAAAAACTCTCCCCATCTAAACCAATCACATACAAAACTGAAAACAATCACGACTTGGTCGTTCGCGTTTTCCCGTGCTCCCAGCAGATTGCTTGTTTTCACTTTGAGTTCTCACTAGCTAATTATAATGTGAACCGTTGCTCTGATTGGTTGCTCTAATTCCCGCGCTTCAAGCAGATTGCTTGTTTTCACTTTGAGTTCTCATTGGCTAATTATTATGTAAACCGTTGTTCTGATTGGTCCATTTGGTTTTGGGTTTTTCGAAACTCAATTGAAAACTGCTCTAACATGAACTTAAAAAAACCCACAACTCAAGACACAAAGCTTGAGTGCATGTTTCGTTACTTTCTTCCTTGCATCCAGAGTCTTTTGAGTGAAATACGAGACTTTGGTCCACAGCCAAACTTTAAATCTTTCGGTATTTTAAAATTCTTAACCCCTCAAAGTTACTTTGTAATTCTCACTTCCAGTTGCCATACAGTTCTTTCAAAATTAGCACTAAGAATATGGTGTTTATTGCGATCACACCATCAAATTGATAACTTTATGTAATCTCAATACATCTCTGCTGAATAATGCATCAGTAATCTAAGGAGAAGATAATTATCAATTACTTTTGTGAGTTAAAGGGCATCTCCACAGTGGTCACAACTGAAATTACTATTAATAACCATTGTTCACATTGGCAGATATTTAAAAGACTTTAGACACAGCACCTCACCAAACCTTTGAGATGACTAGTTTTTTTTTAATTAAACATTTCCCTCCAAGCTGAAGAAATACCTGGCTACATGAAATTATACAAGACTGCTAAACAAAGGATGCTTCTTTAGGTAATGAAGTGAAGTTACTGTGCAGTTTCTATTCATGTTAACTAACCTTTGCATGGTGGAGAGCCAAGCCACAGTAAATTGCAAATGTCTGGAAAGACTTTTCATCTAGAAATGAAATAATTGAACAAGTTTGCTGATACATGAATGAATACTCGGTCATCAAACTTAAAAGAAAATCAACAGTATTTCAGGCAGGATTTATATAGTTAAATCTAAAAGTACAAAAAATAAGATAAATCGTATATCTCATTATCATAATTTACAAGAAAAATTTTGGACAGGAAGGTGTAACATACTCATGTTTGGTGGAAGAGAGTCACAATTTTCATGCTCAAAGCTTTCATTTAATTTCAACTATCTATTCCTTTAAGTCTTTTGTCTTGTGTTTAAAACAAGTTACCTGAAGCTGTAAATACTCCACTCTTTTTGTTCACCATCTGAACAACACCAATAATACTGAAAATTTAATAAAATTTCAAACAATTTTTTAATACATTAGGAAAACTACTGTAACTTCAATAAGCACTGGAGTGTCAGTTTATTAGATTTATTGGAATCTGTTCTTTATTTTAATAGGTAGCATTTACACATTTTCCAACTCTCTAGGTTTGGTTGGTGTAGATGGAAAGAAAAAGGCCACTCCCTGAAAATTTAAGACATGAGAGTTGGAGAGTAAGGATATAATATATTTTGCTCCATCTACTACCTGCAAGATTGATCACAAAACATCCCAGGACATTTCATGAGTAATCTGGACAGGACTGTGAAAACTAATGGCCTCAAGTGCTGCTCTTTCACAAAATGTGGGTGCCACAGGGAGCTAACTTTGGAAAACTTAATATATAACTCAGCTCTTATGAGAGGTTTTAAGAGCTGGGTATCCCAAAATCTCCAAGACAAGAGCTCACAGGCACCTTGTGAATCAGACAACACACTCAGTTTAGCTAGAAACTGTAGTTGCTGTTCCCCTTATAAGGAAGATGGTCCTATATGTATTAGCCAGTTAAGACAGAGTTTCTATTGTAAGCACTTACTTTCCTCTGATGAAAATTGGCATACAAAGCAATGTGGTAGTGGTATACCCAGTCTGAAGGTCAATTTCCCTGCAGACAGCAAAACAAATATGATCAAAGGAGGGTTCTTTAGGACAAGGTCAGGGCAGTTTAAGTGATTTTCGTTCAATTTATCCAATCTATGTAATTACAAATGCACAAGCCTGAAACGTTTGAATAAACATATTTATTTCAAGCACACCTGTTGAATCTTTCATCATGATAGGCATCTGCAATGTTCAGTGTTTCTCCTGTGGTGGCCACATGGCCTGCCACTCCCTTCGTTTTTGGAAACCTGGAAAAACAAGATCAGTTAAAAAATTACTGACAGTATTTGACAAAATTAAAAATAAAAGACTTGGGTCAGAACTGCAAGCTGCAACAACTGTTTTGACCACCAAGGTAAGAAAAAAAACATTTGCGGGACTGAAACTGTAGGCCAGGATGGTCACCAAATGAAAGTTTGGATCCGAGTTTAGCATTAAAGTTTCAAGTCACAATTTTGCTTTATGATGTAATATGTCTAAGCTGAAGTTAAACTAGGATAATAACTTGAATGAAACTTATTAAATGATTACTTTAACACAATAACTTGCCTCTTTTACCTCTTTTTCATAGTATTACTAGATCTTAAATGTTATGCTAACCATAAAAGTACAAATGAATATGATCTGTACAGTCATATAAGATGGTTACAACAAATAGAGGGTTCTCAATAGATTTTTAAGTAGGAGGTGATCACTGATAAAGTAGGAGGCCTCGTTACCATGTTTCACTGTGAATGCCTGGACTCAAGTAAAATGGCGTTCATCTATCAAGTCCAGAACTGTAAGCAAGTTTCCCAGTTTTGTCTGGATCACAGTTGTGCAAGAAACGGAAGAGAAAGTTGGAAACAACTCAAGCAAACTTGCAGAACAAAACAAAGAAAAAAGCGACTTAAACACAAAGTGGCTATAAATCCCAAAGTAAGCGGCAATCAATCGCTGGGTGCCGCCTTCTATTGAGAACCCTGCAAATACATGTAAAAGATTATGAAAATTGTAGGAAAGATAACAATAACATTACCCAGGCATCTACTTTAGACTTAAAACACAGTTCAGATGAATATGCAATGCAATTCTTAATGAAAATCTTTCTGACAAAAAATAATTTTATGCCTGTATCACCTGATTTCTTTTTGAAGATTTGATGACCTGCTGTCCTCAAGACTCCCTCCTATATCAAATATCCTGGCATACAATTCATTTGTTCTGTTGTCCACAAGGAAGAGTGATGTCCTGTCTGCATCCACCAAAGTTTGTGCATAATTCTTGTCAAAAAAGGAAACATTTGAATAAGTTACTTAAACCAATAATAAAATGGTCGCTATTGTTACAAACAATTGCATTATTATTCACAAATTAAACCTCCCAAGCACTTTTGCACTGGCTTTACCAGCTGAGTATAATGGGAACATATAATGGGAACACATATCCAGATGGCCGCAAATACAAAGGACTTTCCAGTATTTGTTTGTGGTGGAACAACATCACCATTTCCCTGAGACATTTGAATCCATGTTTGTACTTTATGTGGTACTTTACACTTTGTGTATACATTAGTGACACTAGTAAAAAGTAACTATCCAGGAAATAAATAACCTGCCTGCACAAATGTCATTTCAAATGCACTTTACAAAGTGAACAAAGATGTTTCTGTAAAGCATGTATGGCTACACTGGTGTGTGCACTTTTTTATGTAAATGTAACCCTTTCACTCCCAAGATCTGAGTAACAATTCTCCTTACTCGTGCTATACAATTTTTGTAGTGATGGTTTAGAGAATTAACAATTCAACAGGATCAACTAAGAATCCCTTATCTAATATTTTTCTTTATTCCCATCACTTGTCTGCTTGACATTGTAAGGAGAAAGTCAGTTTCTTGGTTACTCATGGGAGTTAAGGGTTAAAACACATTTGCAATGGTTGAATGTGTATCACACACTCACCATAATCTTCATAATCACTGTATCCATGCTGACAATATCTTGAAAGATTGACCTGAAAAATAAACAGAAGATAAAAGTAAACAGAGCTTGCTCAATTTCTTATATTAATACTATGACATAACAAAGCAACATGAGTGAGGCCTCACAGGCTTCTCTATTACATATAATGTAAACTTGAAAATATTGAAAGCCTCTGTGAAGAAATTCATTCATTTAGTATTTTGTACTCAGTAGCAAGAATGAGAATTACTGAAAAGCCAAAAATGAAATTGTAATGACATTTCAAGTTTTTTTCCCCACATCTGTTTTAAAAAATATTTGTTTGATTTACCTTGTCACATTTAGTAGAAACTCTGTCAATTTTCTGTGTCTTTGCATGTTTTGGAACATCTGAAAAATTGAAAAATGTATACAATCATGTAAGAAAAGGGAATCTGTGATTACTAAAAGAAAGGAATTTATCATAGACTTCAAAAAGGAAAGGTAAGGTTAATGAGCAGCCTTTTTTACCTCCTAATTTCAACTTAATATATCTATTTGCAATGTTTAAAAAATTAAATTACATCATCATAATATCTTGATAATAATAAGTTATTTACCTCTGCATAATACAGTGATATTCCACCCCACACAAGGTAGCTGTTGACAATCTAGAAAATATCAGAGGCAAATTAGACACATAACTAGCACACAGGGTTGTACACCTTCTGTAGTAACATGATTCACTTATCAACTGCATTTAAAACTTGATCATATACCTTACATTTCTGACCTTGGGTTTAATCAATAAAAAGTAAAAATTTTCTGAATTAAAGCAAAGTGCATCATACCTCATCATCTTCTTCTCCAAATGCTTCATGGCCAAGTCTCCTACATAACTCAATCACACCTGTACAGAATAAAACAAAGAATTTTCCTAACTCTACTAAGAAGAACAAAAGTACCATAAGACTGTAGTTTCTTGCACTAACAAAAGTAATGGAGGTAACTCCCAAGACCTGATTGTCAATTCTCCTCTCTAGCTGCCACACTTTTCCTTGTAAACTAATTACAGGAAGTTGGTGTTGAATAAAGATAACAACTTTTTCCTGATAAGTTTGAGTATTCTCATTACCCATTTGCTGCATAATTTATGGATATTTTAGGGAGAAGTTACACTTATGGGAGTTTTAGGGTTAGAAAACATTTGGTCCAAAAGTGTATGCATGCATGATAGGCCCATCAACTTGTGTCTTTTATCTTTTAATAAATTTATTTTCTTGATAGCATGATACAAAACTTAGGCACCTGCAGCTTCCTAACTTGATAAGTATTGTTAGTAGGAGTTTATCCATACAAAGCTTAAACTCACCAATAAGCTCGCCATTTGACTGAATGATTGGCTGACATAAAACAGACTGTGCTGTGCTACCTGAAAAGACATTCATTTCTGATAGTTTAATGATAAAATAATTTTGCCTGTAATTTATCATCAAGAAGTTTATCCCCAAAAGCTCCAAATGGATGGCAAAAGTTTACAAGTCATTAAGTCCTTAAGATCAACATATCAATAATCCTTAATTTAATCAACTTGATAGAGGAAACACACAACATGCTTGCTAAAGAAAATAAAGAGTACTGTAAATTGTCTAAAAGAAAACTACAGGCAAGAACTAATGACAATTTTAAGTAGAAACTGGAGGGGAAAGACAAAATCTGCTCTTTTTTTAGCTTAGCAAGTACATAATAGCTTTAAGTAATAGATTGACTGTGAACCTGTGATAATATTAACACCCTCATGAATGAGAATCAATTGTGTATTGTGGAAGTTCTTAAACACTGTGCAGCAGAAATTTTAAATAACAGTAGACACAAATTATTGAACTTATTCAAATGCAAAATAAGGGAATATAATAATTAGTTACCTTCCAGTCCTATTCCTTCTGGAAAACGGTCATCCTGAATTGAAATAAAGCAAATTTAGGAGATTTGGAAGCTGCATTAGTTAATAAACCTAGTATATTCCTTGTAAATAAAAGTAAAGCAAAGAAAACAAACTTAGAAAAAAGGGGAAAATGATGTACCTAACAAGAACAGAGTTAATGAAATGATGACAGAACATTCTCCCACAAGTTAGATTTCATGATTGGATGTGAAATTTTTGAAAACTTGCTTTTTGCAGAGCCCAGCTGAATTTTTGAGAACAACAGCAGGTACAATGGAAAAAGTGACCTAGTGGAGTTTTGGCAAGTAACAATAGATTCAATTGAGCATTTTTCAAGTTCAGAATTAGTCACTTATGGATTTGCTGTCTTAATGACTTATTGTGGCTAGGTTTATAAATTGAATAATTAATGACCACACACATTAACTTAAGATCCTAAAGTGAACCAGATCTTGAGTTGTAGGAAGGAATGGGTGTGGTAAAGTTTTTATTAAAACCTTCTAAGCCCTAATAATGTTCAGCATTGAATTTGTCTCCTCATAATATCAGAACTTCCCATTTTTCCTTAACACCTTGATTCCTAAGAGTGACTAGCATCAAATTTCTCCTTGCAATATCACTCCTGAATCACACTTAAAGGTCAAGGGAATATTAATAGCAAATGATCACCAACTCAAGAAGCTCTTAAGTGTTAAACAAATTCTCCTTGTCAGCTCCTTAGGAAATTTATGTAGAGAATATGCATGGCAGTGATGCAAAGGAGTAACAGGTTAAAAAGAAATTGCCCTGGGCACAGTTGTTAAAAGATGAGTTAGATTAACTCAGGGTTAATGTGAAATCTGATTTCTAATCTGAAAGCTTTAAGGGAAAATTCAGTTCCCTTCTTCTTGTCTAAAATTTGATTAATGGATGCTCTCAAAAGAATACTAGTGAGAATATCCTAAAAAGGCTTTCGAACAAAGGAGTAAATAAACCTGGATCAAAATTTAACCATAGGTTAGCACTTATCAGTCCTTGAACAACATACTGTACCCAGATCTTTAAGAATTTCTCTGAGACATTATACTTGTGATAGGAAAATGAGTGGCATTCAACTCAGTGAGGAGACCTCAAATATTGACTGCAGAGCCTCAAGAGCTAAAAGTACAGCACTTACCCCTAACACTTCATTTGTTCTGAATGGCTTTTGAGTAAAAGCTACATATGCTGCAATTGTACTTCCATCCTTTATTTGAATATTTGATGAAGTCCTCCTAAAAACAATTGTATTATATCTCATCACTCTGATAATATTCACAGGATTAGTTCAAATGTGTGAAATAAAGTTAAAAGCTGTCATTACCAAGAATCTTGCAGTATTCATTGTTTTAACTATTTCTATCAAATTGGATCAATAAATATCAATATAGCACCCTTGTATTGGGAGCAATGCATTTTCCCAAAGAGAAAACAATAGATTGAAGCTCTGAAAGTTTCCAGACTTTCTTCAAATCAGACAAACACATAATTGACCAAAAAAATATGAAAAAAATATCATACAAGAATTAGAAGGGAAGGATGGGCTTTATGTAGTCAAGATAATGAAAAAGTGTCATTCAACCCTTTAACTCCCAAGATCTGATTAATAATTCTCCCCTCTAGTTGCCAAACATGTCCTTGTAAATCAGTAATGAGACCTTGGTGTCAAATCAAGATAACAACCTCCACCTGATAAGTTTGAGTATTCTCATTACTTGTTTCTTGGATAATGTATGGATATTAAAGGGAGAAGTTACAGCTTAATCACTTCTGGGAATTAAAGGGTTCACAAGAGGAGACTTTCACATTAGAAATACTTACCCTTCTGGATGGTTAGGATTGTAGATGAACAATGCCTGACAATCAAACAAAACATTCATTAACAAAATGATGATCTCACAATATTGTTGATCATTTTATTCAAATATAGATCATTTTAAATTAACCCTTTAACTCCCAGATCAAATTTGTAATTCTTCTTACTGTCAACCATACAGTTCTTATAATGTTAGTTCTGAGAATTTAGTACTTGATCAACTAATTATCCCCTAATTGATATTTGTCATTATTCTCATCACTTATCTGGTTGCTAACCTAGCCCTATGGATATTGTAGGGAAAAATTCTGTCTTGGTCACTCATGGGAGTTTAAGGGTAAAATTCTTAACCTATGAGGATTAAAAAAAAAAAAGCACTGAGCAATGTATGTTACAAATCATTTTGATAGTAATTTACAGCTATTAGTTAACAATTACAGTAGTCATTTTACACATCATAATGAATTTATAATTCAAGTTTTTTCCCTTCTGATTAGTGGTACTGTAGTGTGTTTGGTAATCACTGACTTGAATTACAATAATTGCAGTTATATATTTTTATCCTTCATTAATATCATTTTTTTATAATTTCAGTGCCTAGCAACGTCTTACCTTTCCTGTAGCATCAACTAAATACAAAGTGAAAGAATCTGCATGACAAGCTGTTAAAAGAGAAACACCAAACATACATGAATTAATTATCATACACTCATTAATTTTTTAAAATCATAATGTACAGGGCTAGGTTGTTGAAAACTGGGTTTAGATAACACAAGGTTAGTGTGAAATTTGATTTCAGATCTGAAAGCTTTTAAAGAAATTCAGTTTATTAGGCCATTTGTGTACAATTCAATGGTTGAATGCTCTAAAAATAATTGGAAAAAATTAATTATTCCAAAAGAGCTTTTAGCCCAGGATCATACAGCACATGTACATTAATTTTAAAATTACCATAGGGAGCTGCGCATAATAGCAAGAGTTGTCAAGACTAATGTTTGCGTTATCCGCTAAAACTTAACCGCAGTATGACCCCCCAAGTTAAAAGTGTCCATTTGGCAACCAACTTTTCACATTAAGGTGCGGGGAAGAATTTTATGGCAAGAAAATAAATCTTTTATCAAATCATTAACATTAAATTATGAGTAATCTCTACAAAATTTAATGGCAATGTATTCATCTAATCTAGCTACAACTAGCAACTTGAACAGCCAGCTATAAATTACTTTATATTACTCACTAAAAGAGATTTTTGGAGATACAAACTAAAGCATTTTTATCAACTTCACTAGCCTTAGCATATCCTACCTGATGCAATACAGTTTGCCAACTCCATCAACACCTTCTGCTTGTTTGGTGACTGATGAATATCATTTGTCAGCTCTTCCAGCATTTTCTTCTTATCACTGTGTACACAAAACTGTACAGAGAGGAAAATAAATAGATTAAACTTTACTTTAGCACAAGAACTGGTTAATATAATATACCCCCCTTCTTCAACTAAAGCTTCCTGAATTCTGTGTGGTTCCTGGGCCAAAAAGAAAAGGTTACCCCTTTAACTCTCATGAGTAATCAAGACAGAAATTCTCCTTACAATATCAATACAACATCAACCAGATAAGTGATGAGAATAAAGAAAAATTATTGGGGATAAAATCAAAATTGGATCAAATTTAGTTGATCCAATACTAAATTCTCTGAATTAACATAAGAATTGTATAGTTGCCAGTAAGGAGAATTACAAACTTGATCTAGGAGTTAAATGGTTACCTTTAACAGTGACAAAATATTTCCTTACAATAAATTGCTTTTTGAAAACTCAATGTCAATTTTTTTAGATGGGTTACCCATAAAAACCCACTGGCCTTGAACAGAGTATTTGTAACACAATTACGCATGTTACAAATAAATGTAATCCACACAAGTGATTAAATAGGATTTTCCAAGAAGTTGGCGATAAGAACAAAGAGCACTGAACCTGAGAGGTATTATCTTGATAAATCACATAATTCTCTTAACTACTTTACCAGGGGAAGTATCCAGCTTAATGGGAATTAAAGCTTGAGAAAGCCTAACAATTTCAAGGGTGATATAGGGATAGGAATGAATAATTTCTGGTTTCTATCCAAAAAAATCAATAAAATAGGGGTATCCCCTTAAGCCCTCAAACACCATGTGGGATGGAGGGATAGGGAATAAGAATATTAGTACTGGTACTGAAAAATATGACTCCTGCAGAAACCAGGGGGGAAGGGGGAGGAGGGAATATTAGCACCACTTGAAAAATATGACCCACACAGAAACTGGGGGTAGGTGGAGAGGGAGGAATGGGTATATTAGCAATTGAAAAACATAACCCCCACAGAAACTGGCAAATTGAAAATATGACCCCACAGAAACCAGAATGTAGGAAAACAACTAAGACTTAATGAGCACAACAAAAACTCTGCATGTGTGTTTAAACAATTCTTACTTTTTTTAATTTTCCAATACAAAACAAAAAATATTGAAATCACCAAATTTTATGGAGTCTGAGAACTGAGACTGTTCAAGCAAAATATTATTGTTTCTACTTCGAAGTTGGCACTACATTTACAAGTTATGCTATAAGAGGGATCTGGCACTGTTTGAGAAGGTATTCACTGTAAGCTCCCCAAAAAATTCATCGGAGAAATGAAAGTTCTTTTTCTTTTTCATGTCATTTTCCTGTGACATCTAAATCTCCCCATTCAATTTATTAGTACAGGAAAACTCTTCTATGGTCAATAGAAATTTAAAAAATTTATTAATCGACGATGACAGCAGCTAAATTTTATTACTTACTAAAGTATGACCCATTCAAAATACAAGGAGCAGATGTTGCAGACTAAGAGTTTAACCATATTACAATTTGACAGTTCTCTGACGACACGAGTCTCTCGTTTGGCTGGAAAAATATCCTTTTCTAATATATCTATTGAATCATTTAAGTTACTCATTCTTACAGATGTTTTTGATATAATGTTGTGAAACTGCACGCAAATGTAACGCAGTACATCCTAGTTGGTGTTAAGAATATTTTCAATTGGGATCCATGACCTCGGTTAATTTGTTAAAGAACGGAAAACCTTGTTGAAGGAATAACGAAATAAAAATAAAATTTAAAGGAAAACGGCGATCGCTGAAAGATTAAATGTCAATGTTTCGAGTGCGGCAATTTCAAATGTCAAAGGAAGTGGCCTCACAAACCAGTGAAGGATATCTTATGCCTCAAATAACAGAAAAAAGAACACATGTACGTACAAACTGCAATATCATTTGGCTTGCTTACCTTCCACTTCGACAGAGATGGACGATGTGGGTCTGTATAAAAAAAATGTATAAAATTGCGCCTTTTACTTATATACAGGGAGCACACCGAAAAATACTTTAACTGCTCGTTACTTCAAATGACGGTAGAGTTGACATTGTCCCAAATTAAAACAGGCCGCTTACCACTTTGTTTATTATTTTCATGATCGAGAGAACTTGAAGGCTTCTTCCCCGCTTTAATCTTCAATTTTCGCGTCTTCCTAATGAGCCATCGCTCCAAACGGTCTTGATCGACATGTTTCATCACATAATCCTCCAAAAACACAGGGTTTGCTCGGAGAAAAATACGCACCGCCTCTTCATCGACATCAGCTGAAATTTGGAAAAAATAAACAGGAGTAATAAAATAAACCCAAAGTAGGGACAGATCATATCTTTCTTTGAAAATACCATTTTCGACACAAAACAGCGCCTACACACAAAAAAGAAAATCATGAAAATCAATTTAACTGGAAAAAGGTTGGTAATTATTTAAGAGCGTAGGACACGGGGCAAATTTTTGTTTCTTCGGAGCAAACAATATCTTCGAGCCAGATCGCGATGCAAAAGAACACATAATTAAGTTTGAATTTCTGAACAAAATCTTACGCACTCAAACTTCATGATCGTTGTATCAATATATAACAAAAGTGAGATTGTGCGAGAATAGTGCCGTGAAATAGTAAGGGTCAATGCTATCATTAACGCGGTTCGAACTCGTTTAAAAAATTGCACTAACCTTGGCCATTTCCTATCGCTTTTCCCTGTACCAAAGCTGGCCGAAACGGCCCATCGCCAAAGCTTGCGGTCAGATCAATGTGGGTAATATGACTGCTCTGACCATGGTTGTTTGATGTTCGGTTGCTAGAAGGCCCTTTCGCTGCCTTTGCCTGTGAAACAGGCGAAGTCCCATGACCGTTCGAAGCGCGCTGATAAATAGGGCTGTAGCGCGAACCGCTTGGTAGAGGAGGAAGCCGACGATTTCCAACCTGGCGTGAAGGACTCGACATCAATATTTTCGAAACTGGTTTCCTTTCATGTGAAGTTTTTCCTTCACAGAAAGACGGACGAACCACAAGCGATGTTTATCTTCATCGCTAAGCGAGAGTAAGCAGCTGGTAGCAGATAGTCACGTGACCCACCGGAAGTATAATTCACAGCAATCTTTTTACTTATGTCACTTTTGTTCCCTAATTTGACGCGCGCCGCGGTAAGCAGACAAAACAAGCTTTTTTCGGAAAAAAGAGAAAAATATATTGTATTGTTCTTGTTGTTTTATTTTTATCTCGACTTAGAACATCAGCTGGAATCACAGACTGAAAAGGAAGCCGTAGCATTAAAAGATATTAAGGAAACTAAGACAAGTCTTCTTCCTTTTTACTAAGAAAAACGTTGATCCTTTCTCATAAATAAAAAGGCGCAAAAATACAAAGAAAAATTGCTGAATTAAATTATTTAAAATATAATAGAATAAATAAATATCTCTTAGAAGCTATGAAATCGTAATCGGGGGCACAGTTTTCGCGGAGATAGTACATTTCAAAACATTTTAATTTTAGCATGCAACCCTGTCAAGAATCATTGACGTGTTTTCTCGATTTAACGAGGGGTCTCAGGTTTGCCCGGTTTGAAATTAAGAACACCAAATTAAACCCTCTTGGCACTCTATTTTGCAACAAGGTCAATGTATTGTGGTGAGATGTATGACTGACTGAATTTATCATAACGTCGGCCGTTCGAAATAAAAAAACCCTGAAAACTCTCGTCGCGTCTTGACGCCAATTTTGAATCAAACGCTCGGAGTGCTGTGCTGTACCATTAATTAAATTTCATTTTAATTATCTGGAGTCTCTCTAAAAACAATTTTCTTTAGTTTTCTGTCTTTCAATCCTCAGTTTTTTTCGAATGATTTCTTTGTCCACGGCAAAATTTTTAATGAATTCGTCTATTTTAGGATTACAATGAATATCACGAGGCTACTTTGATGATATGTTGTCATCAATTTTTAAATACGCGTAATTTTTCTTCAGATAATAGTTGCTGTACATTACCCCGGTTAATGAAGAATCAGATAAAGTCTTCTAGCTATTAATAGGTTTATTCTGTTTGAAACTCATGGAATGAAAAGTGGAAAGCGTCACAAGCTAGTTAGCCCGACTGAGTTACGCAACTGCTTATTTTGATCGTAACAAAAAACTGATTATACAAAAAGTTTTCGTCATGAAAAACTTTCGTAATCTTCCAAAGGAACATAGAAAGTCTAAGTCAAAATTTTGCGCTATTGAGTGTTGGAAAAGCAACGTTATTTCATTGCCTCCGAGTAAAATTAATTCGGGAAAGTACAGTCAGTTTTCCTTTTTCTGGCAAGATTAGAAAAAAAAATCCACTCCACAAGTTAAAGAAAAAAAACTTGGCAATGTTTTCTTTCCGGTCGCTTGGTAACTTTTCAAGAGGTTTAAATTCATTTCTATCCGTGACAATAAGTAGTCGAGCCACCATTTGTAGGGGGGTTGGCAGCTGAGTTTTAGGTCATCGCAATTTTATTTTGAAAATTTTATTCCTTGGATGAAAGCCCTCAAATAATCAAGAGAACTTCCTCTGGGCAACCCGTTGAATACAGCACAGGATAGTTTTTTTTTTCTGGAAAATTAACTCGGACGAGATAAAGCTAAGCAAGAGAAAACTTAAAATTAAAGTTTGAATCGAATTTTCGAGTAATATGTGAAGCTCTGTATAACAAAACATTAGAAAATGACAGAAATTTTAAAGCGATGATAAAACTGAAGTATATCACCTTCAGGTATCGAAACATGGATCCTTAGCTATCGAGACTAATATGGTATGCAAATTTTATCATGACGTCACTGTTCTCACCGAAGTGATCCCATTGGATGAGACTGGTTTCCCGGCTTTGACACTAATGGCTTGAAAGGGGTAACCGTTTGTGATTCGGTGACGCAAGTGATGTTTTCATCGATTTTCTGATTTCATATTTAAAACTCTTGGTTAGACAGACTGGCTTGGAGAGCTAAGTGTTGCAATTCCCCCAGCTAGCTCTTGGACACAGGCTTTTTTTATCTTGACTCCTATGCAATGTTTTGAAACCTACCGATGTAAAAGTTGACAGTTGTCCATAAAGTAGAATCGCATAGCATGGCTGTGGTCTAGCAGCAACCGGTGGGCCCTGGGCCCTAACCTTTGCTCATGGGCAACTTAGGAATTTTAGTTTTTCCATAAAAAGCATATTCTGAGCACCTTGAATTTCACAGTTTCAGAGCTCTGAGCACCCTTCAATTTTTCTTAGAGCACAACCTTGCATGGAAAAAAAAAATGAGAGTACTGGCCAAAAATCTGTAAAATAACTTCTTTTATTTTTCACATCTTGAAATGTTTTGAATGACATTTATCATTTCATATATTTTATGCACATTTCAGTTAACTGTTCCCACTGTAGTGCAATGTTCTAATCTTGTTCCAGAAAGATTTCCGCACAGCCTCATATCACTCTAAAACAAAGCCACAGTCCCAAAGGCAATCAATTATTTGTTAGCCATCTTTATCCAAGAACTATGAAGTAAGGGGCTGTGCGGCAATCTTACCCTTGTTTCTGACTTTGTATCAAACTGTATTATAAAGAATATTTCTCACCACATAAAAATTATCCTTACAGTTTTGAAAGTTCCAAAGTTGCTTTTCATACGTCAGATGGAAAATACAGTGTTTGAGACAGGTATTTAACCATCATACCAATATGACTAAAGTGACTAGAATCTATTTGAAACTGTTATTAAAACCACCAGATTAACTATATATGTATTAATCTGACAGTTTTCCCAACAGCCCTCAAAGTCTGTAAAATGATTAGAAAACCCCTCTAAATACTGCAGGAACATGACAAGTCTAGTTTGACTCAAAAATCCCAAATCCACATTTTTTTTTCGCACATACAACAAAACATATTATGTCATTAAAATTCACATCATTTGAATTAACCAATGAGCACATGCCTGAAATTGAACAATAAAAATGAAACAAAGTTTGTGATTGCTCACACCAGAGTAAAAGTGCCAACTGAGTTCTTTAAAAGTTTTTAATCAATTTCATAAATGCAGAAAAGGTCGTGACATGTTTATTCACCATTTTTAGTCCCAAACAAAGTCTTATCCTTTCTTTAATATCACACCCATCCCCATCCTGTAAATGTAAAGTTCTCATCATCATCATCATCATCATCATCGTAATCATGGAAGTAATCATTAACACTGCATCTGCTTTTCATTGGCTCTTGGTTGCCAGGAAACACATAGGTCCTCCAAGCAAACTGAAGTCTGGTGATACCTTCTTCACCTTGTGAGTAAACTACTGCAGCACCAATTCCTGCCAGGAAACCGTATGACCCTGGTGGAGTTTCAGAGAAGAATCCTCCACCATCCCCTCCATAAGGACCATAACATTTAGGTTCTCCATTATCGTCTTTCTTGTTTGAAAAAAATTGGAGCTGGTTGATCATCAGTCCAGAGTTTACTTCAACTCTAACAATCCTCTCATTTTCTTCCAGATGAAATTCATGGTGTTCACAGTGACTGGAGTCACTTCCAAACTTCACCTCTCTGTCACCATTGTAGAAAATCCTTAGGCCACCTAGTACAGATGTCCCACACCATTGACGGATCCATAAATCCATTCCCTTTATAAACACATCATTTCTCAGATCTTCAACAATCATTTCATCACTGTGATGTGATCTTACAGAAAGTCTCCGCACATCACTTGCAAAGCAACGCCCCCACCAGACTACAGGTTTGGCAAATACCCTTGTGGTTGCCCACCTTTCATCCGGTGAGTCTTTCTCAGAGGAATCAATTTGCAGTTTCTGTGCCTTTGCAATCCATTCTGTGCACGAGTTTGCAAGAAGCTTATGTAACAGGATTTCTTTCAAATAAGACTTTGATATGGTTGGAAGTCGTACTAAAGATAACAATTCTGGCAAATTCTTTTTTCGGTTTGCTAGATCATGTTCCACATACTTAAAAACAGCTTCCAACACCGCCCTTTCCCGTTCCTCTGCAACCGGAATTAGGTTCTCGATGACTACACAGATACCTTCATCGGCAAGAATCTCTTTCAGGAAACCAATTGGAAGAGAGAGAAATTCCTCCTTTATCGTTATTTCTAAATTGGCACCAAATTTATGGATATAGTAATTTCGTGGCACTCTTTACCAATGCTCTTTACACGTGTTAAATAAAGAGAAGGACTCGGTTCCACTGTCTTACAACATTCAAGATGGCGGAGGAAAGGGGTAAATGTGCGTTCAGTTGTGATCAGCATGATCTCGACACCAAAATAACGATTACCGTTATTTCTAAATTGGCCCTGAAATAACGAATATCATAATTTCAGTGCATGTCTGAGACCTTCGGGCTCGAAGCTTGGGAACTAGTATTCAGGGAAAGATAAAATGGCGGCTTACGGCGGCGAAGGAAATCTCAGTAGTTTAATATTTAGCGTGAAAAGGCTTGGGTGTTGTGATCTGGTTCTCAAGTAAAAAAAAAATCACGGTCTGCAATGGCCCTACCACCTTTTGAACAACAAGAAAACATTGAAACGGTGGTAAAAAGCAGCAAGTTTCGAAGTCTAAACGAAAGATGGGTAAGCTGAGTTTCAGTCAAATATCATGACATTTGGGATGTAATTTCGATACCGAATAAATAGTTCTACATGGTTATACACGCATAGGATTCTGTTGTGTTCACGTGAAGGCCATTTCAGCCATTCCTGCCACTTGTAAGTGGTAGGAAATAAAAGATATGTATAGTTGTTTCGTATTGAAGCCCTGTGAAATCACAAATTTGATTTATTTCTTCTTTGTTTTAGGTGGTCATTATCCATTACTTTTGGAAGTCGATGCTGATGAGAAAGAAAAAATGTTTATGATTATTTCTTCTCTCGAACATTTTACTATTTAGGTACCAAATAATCTTGATACTGAAGATCATTGCATCCATTATGAAAAAATTACCCTTGATTGCTTTGTCAACTGGAATGTATAATGTAATATACCTTGTGATTTGTGGGATTTTCACAAGTAAACTAGAAATACTTGAAGAGGGTAATGATGTACTTAATGCAGAGCATTTGGTACAAAGTCTGCTTTGCTGTAATCTACCTGAAGGTGCTTTTTATATGCTAGTAAGACTTGCACAGCCCAGTCAAAATGTTTTTGAGTAGTAGAAAAGCTGGCCAAACCTCTTCCTGAAAAGCAGTCTGAAAAATGTGAAGTTAGCGGAAGGTACTTCATTGTAGGCGGCCAAATTGTAAGCTGCCAGCCCATTTTGAGTGAGCAGTAAAACTCAAGATTGGCTATTTTAGCTAATTTTATTGAGAACCAAATTCCCAGCAACGGGCACAATTTTACTGGGCTATTTGTTATTTAACTACTTAGTAATATTCTTATTAAAATTTACTGCATTCCTTTCTAATAATTTGCTGCTGATTGTATGCTGTATATAGCTTATGATTTGTGTGATTTTCACAAGTAAATTAGAAATACCTGAAGATGGTAATGATGTACTAGATAATGTACTTGATGCAAAGCTATTTTGGTGCAAAGTGTGTGCCTTGTCTGTAGGTGATTTTGCATGCTAATAAGACTTGTAATTCAAATAATACACATCAGCTGGAGTGGGAATATTAAAAGAAAAATAATAATATTTAGCTATACCAAGTTCTGGTTTTATGTCCAAAGTGTGTGCCTTGTCCATAGGTGATTTTGCATGCTAATAAGACTTGTAATTCAAATAATACACATCAGCTGGAGTGGGAATATTAAAAGAAAATATTTAGCTATACCAAGTTCTGGTTTTATGTCCAAATTAAGCACTTAGTTGAAGATCACTGCACTGCTCAGGTCCAGAAGGCTGAAAGAGTACTGTCTGCTGTTAGTTTGATTTTTGTCATTTCTATTGATTTATTTTATTTATCAATGTTTCTTTGAATTGTAATTCATTGATCTCTTTCAATAGTGCAGGTTCGCTCATGTAACCTAATCTCCCACTTATGTATGTATGTATGGATGAGCTCAGTCAAAATGTTTTTGAGTGGAAGGCAAGCTGGTGATAGTAATAGGCAGCAGAGGCTGAACCTTGTCTTGAATGGAAGTGTGAAAAGTGTGAAGTTAGCGGCAGCTATATTGTGGCAGGCAGCCAAATTGTCAGCTGTGGCACATTTTGACTGGGCTGATTGTGTGTAGTATATATGTGCACTTCTTTTAGGGTGTTAAACAGGTTAAAGTACCAAGAAATCCTCTGTGATAACTTGATAATTCAAGATGTAAAAATTTTAAATAATAAGGTAAAGCTTGATCATTCTTAAGAGTTTCCATTTGTTCTGGAAATTTGGGGGAGGGTCAGGGGAGCATTATTTATACATAAATAATGTACATAAAAAGTAAAAAAAAAGGACCAAGGTAAAATCCCAATTTGTTTTAAGAGTTAATTTTATTAAGAGAAAACCCTGGATATAGCTTGGGATTTGTGTGATTTTCAAAAATTGTTAGGAACCTTGTTAATTTTCAGCTTCAAGAACACAAGTACATAATCTTTAGTGCAGCCCTCTTTTCTCCCCGCCATTATTCTAATTTTTTTTATCAAGTTTCCTTTTTCTTGTGTTCAATTAATTTATTGTCTTTACAGGTGAAATTTTAATATCTGCTAGCACAATTATCTCTGCTAAGAGTGTCTACCATCACTCTTGCCGGTCTCAAGCCCAAAACGCTGCAAACTAGCTGAAACTACATGTATTTCGTAAAATTGCGATGAAACCTATCTCAAAACACCAAAATCCGGCAGAACGCACGAGTTTTTGCCAAATTTTACGCAAAAGTTGACAAAAGCGCTCAATTCGACCTGAAAAACACGTTTTTTTTTTTTTTTTTTTTTGCAAAAATCAGCCTATTTTACATTCAAAAGCACGATGTCTTTAACAAAATAGGGATACAATCCATGTGAAAACACTTATTCCAGCTAAAACGCAGTGTTCTCAGTAAAATTTGGGGAAAAAACGCGTAAAAACCGTCAGAAACACGACAAATTGGGCTGATTTTACCCACTTTTTGTGTAAATAGCTGCCAAAACCCTCTAAACTAGCTGGAACTACATGTTTTTCACAAGATCGCCATAAAATCTTGAAACGTTGCTTTAGGGACCTTTATGCCTCCAAAACGAGTTTTTACTTTAAAAAAAATGGAATGAACAAAGATGTTAAAGGGGAAAAAGCTGTGAGAAAGGAGAAGTTTAGTGTTGCTGTTTGATATGCCGCCCAGATATATCAATTTATTAATTTAACGCCTTTAGCCGTGGGCAGAAGTTTTTCTCTAGACTAAGAGGACCCTCCCTATGTTGACGAACCTCAATAACTCGTTGATTTTACTGTTTTTACACAGATTTGATTTTAACCATATTCGCCAAAATAACTGCCAAAACACGGCAAACCAGTATCTCGGCCAAGAGCGATATTGGCCATTTCACACATCCTTATTAGATATGAATTTTATTAAAGATTGTCATTCTAGCATATGTTGGCTAGTTACCACAGGTTTCTTGATTTTCATGGGAAAGTGGCATTGGTTGGTACCATGACCAATCTCCTCGACTTTCCCATGATTTTCATAGGATGTTAGCGACCCATACTTCGAACCTCAGTTGTTTTTTTTTTTTTTTACATTGGCGCGAGTTTCACAACTTTCTTGTGGTTTGGCATTGACTCAGAGTTGGGCTTATTTTTATGGCTAATCCATCGGCGACTTTCTCATGATTTTCTTGGGTTCTCAACAGTGACACGCACTTTGGAACCATAATTTTATAAATATGTCAACACTGGCAAATACTGCTAAAATCTACACTCTACTAAACTCCATGTACCACAATATCCACACAACTGCGTGTGCCTACTTGAAAATCCTAACCCTAACCCTAAAACTATCCAGTTAGCCTAGTATTGTATTGCTGGTTTGAGTGACTAAACTGGCTCAAATGATCCAGCTGCTTAAAAATCTAAGCACAGAGTAAGTTTAAAAGATTCAATTTTGTAAGGTTTCGAAACAGTTCCAAAATTAACATGCACATAGCTCAGTGTAAAACATCGAAGCTTCTAGGACTTCTTATGATTCCTACGAACGTACACACCTAATGCACGTCAATTTGCCTTTGTTGTCCTCGAACGATCACGTCTTCATGGTAACGTGGTGTAAGAACTGTACAGCACTTTATAAATATATGTTTTACTTGACGGTAAAAGTTTGAATCCGTACAAGGAAACGTAACGGAAACAGGCGATGATAATATTCCGTTGACAGAAATGCAACGGAAACGTGTCGTCATATTTCCGTTCAGGAATCATAACGGAAACATAACAGGTCCAAGGAAGAAGTGAATGATGTGGAAACATAGAGTTTCATTTTTCCGAATTACGGAATCATGCTATTTCGTCCTGTGCTCACTCTAACTCTGTGCTATCCTAAACCTAACCCAAACCCCAAACCAATCCTAAGCTATGGTAAAGGGTTTAAGTCAGGGTTGAGGATAGGGTTAGGGCAGGAGCCCATTACCTGGTTAGGGTTAGAGTTTGGGTTGCTTCGGGTCAGAGGGGTTTAGTGTTACAATCAGGGTTAGGGCTAGGGTAAAATTATGCTTAGAGTTAGCGGGGTTTAGTGTTAGAATTAGGGTTAAGGCTAGGATGAGGCTATGCTTAGGGTTGGCGTTAATATTTTTCTACAAGCATTCAATTGCAGGGTTTTTGGTATTGTGTTTGTAAATTTCAGTAACTACTTGAAAGTTTACTGAAAAACAAACGATAGGCCGACTGGTACACTTACAGGATAGATAGAGAAGGTTTAGGGTTAGGGTTAGGGTTAGGGTTAGGGTTAGGGTTAGGGTTAGGGTTAGGGTTAGGTCTAGGTTAAGGGCTATAGGTTAGGGTTTAGGGTTTAGGGTTAGGTTTTAGGGTTATGGTGTGGGGCTAGGGTTAGGGTTAGGGTTTAGGCTTAGTGTTAGGGTTAGAGGGTCTGCGGTTGAGGTTAGGGCTAGGGTGAAGGTTTGGGGTTAGGGTTTGGGGGTAGGGTTAGTGTTTAGGGTAAGGGTGTAAGCCTCTTCAAAAATATTTTTAAGAAGATTTTGTCACCTTTTTCACTTAAATAACCACCTGAAGAATTTTGACCAGTTAGATTATTTGAAGCGGTTGGATTAATTTTGATTGGGGTTTAATAACTTTTAGTAGTTGGATGATTATTTTTACCAGTTGAACCACTGTAATATGCTGGATCTTTTTAACTAATGTTACCATCCTTACCTGAATTATTTGAACCAATTTCACTGGTTACACATGCATTATCCAGTTAGACCATTTCAACTGGTTGGATTATTTAAACCAGTTTGTCCATTTTAGATATTGGCATCATTTTATCAAGTTGGATCATGTTAACCAGTCGCACCATTTTACTAAGTGAGATCGTTTCTTCCGATTGGACCATGTCACGTAATTAAAATCTTTTCACCGTTTAAACCATTTTATCTTGTTTTGGCTGGTTGGACCATGTTAACCAGTTGCATCATTTTGACTGGAGTGAAAAGTTCCGTTCTTAACCCGAGCCCTAACCCTAACCCTAACCCGGGGTTAGGGTTAGGGTTAGGATAGCTCGCAGCTAGAGTTAGGGCTTGGGTAGGGTGGGATTATGATTAGGCTGAGGGTCACAATTTTTTCTGAAAACATCCAATTTTTTTTTGGTATTGTGTTTGGCTCTAAACTTTAACAACTACTTGAAAGTTTGCTTGAAATCAAAATATACCATTTTTTGCCAAAATAACTGCCAAAATGCGCAATTCGGGCCTTTTTATCAATTTACACTTGGTTTAAGCTTGGTTTTTGTGTTTTCCCACAGACTCTTAAACTATTTTGCTGAGAACATTTTTTGCAGCGTTTTTAAAACTGAAATAAGCTTATTTTTGCAAAAAAAACAAACGTGTTTTTCAGTCGAATTTAGTGTTTTTGTCAACTTTAGCGAAAAATTTTTTGAAAAATCGTACATTTCTGCCGTATTTTGGAGTTTTTAGACAGATTTCGTCGCGATCTTGTGAAAAACATGTAGTTTCAAGCTAGTTTTCAGTGTTTTGGCAGTTATCTTGGCAAAAAATGGGTAAGTCAGCGCAATTGTTTTTTTTTTGGTTTTTAAGGTTTTGTTTGCCCAAATTTTACTGAGAACACTGTGTGTTAGCTTGTCTCCATTGTTTTTTCGCAGATTCTATCGCTGTTTTGCTGAAAACATAACGTTTCAGCTTGTTTGCATCGTTTTTGGTCGTGAAATAAGCTAATTTTTGCAAAAGGAAAAAAACCTGTTTTTCAGCCCAAATTGACATAAAGGATACAGAAGAACATTTGCTTATTGCCTTTTTTTTTTGTCCTTACTCATGAAGTTGATTTTGGCATTTCA